GGTCTGCACCTATACGGTATGCAACACTCTCTGGGCACTGTTGCACAAGGCAGGCACCCAAAGCTGCAGCCCATGATGCTTCCTGTGCGCTCTCCAGGGAAGATTGTCAATGTGTCATAGTAAAGAGTTTGCATGAGAAATGTCTTGGTTGCTGTTCCTGTGTCTTGGAGAATGGAGCTTGTTATACGGATTGCTGCAATCACTGAAAGAGCAAGGAGGTGCTGTGTTTTGGAGATGAAAATGTGAGGGTGAGACGGTTAAGGTGTGAAAGGGACATTCAAGGGTGAGATGGTTGATGTGTGAGAAGGATATGAAACGGTCGTTTTGGGAAATGAATCTGAGAGCAGCGTGGGATATGTTTGAATCTGATACATGTCTGTTTGTGCTTTTACTTCTGCATTCTGATCAGAGGTCATTGTGTTGGTGTGGTTATGTCTGTGATGCAGATCACTACCTCCTTTTTGACTTCCCCGGTCAAGTGGAGCTCTTCACCTTGCACAACAATGCCAAAAATATCATTGCAGAGATGACCAACCAATGGGACTACAGGGTAAGAATAGATGGTTGTGCAATGTGCATTGGTTTGCAGTGGACTCCCTTTGCATTTTTGCATCCATGTGCAGCAATTTCCACGCTTGCAGTGCCAAGACTCAACATAGTCAACACTAACTCACAGCATAAAAGTGTGAGAATGAAAGCTCACACTAAGAAGACTATTGTTGTGATCCTGGGTATGTCACAGTGCAAAACTCAAAGAACGACAATGTCGTTCAATTGCAACTGAAATGAAAGAGATTGGAAAGAGAAACAGAAGAAGAAGAAGAAGAAGAAGAAGAAGAAGAAGAAGAAGAAGAAGAAGAAGAAGGGGGAAGAAGAAGAAGAAGAAGGGGGAAGAAGAAGGGGGAAGGAGGAGGGGGGGGAAGAAGAAGAAGAAGAAGAGGAGAAGAAGAAGAGGAAGAAGAGGAGGAAGAAGAGAAGAAGACGAAGACGAAGAAGAAGAAGAAGAAGAAGAAGAAAATAGTAAACAAATAACACGATATGATAATAGGTATATATACCTATTATCAGGGTCACCAGCCCGTACGTACAGAGGTCCCGGGGCATGCCTCCGTACGTACAGGCGTTCGGGATCCTGTACGGGGTCCGAACCCGACAGTGTTCGGCCCCCGCCAAAAATTATTTCGGGGCCTAAAAATATATATTTTTTTCCTGAATTTCTTTTTGTGAGCTCTCTATGACGTGAGGTACATGCCTATAAATTTTCAAGTCATTTGGCTCAGCCAAATAAGAAATAAAAATCGCCAAAGATGGCGGTGTCAAAACGTGCTCGCCCATGTTTTTTTTCACTTTTTACTTTTTGTTTTCACTTTAGTTCGGGGTCTAAACAATTTTATTATTTTTTGAAACTTTTTTAGTGGGTTTTGCATTATGTGAAGTACACATCTGTAAATTTTCAGGGCATTTAGCTATGCCAAAAAAAAAAAGAAAAATCACCAAAGATGGCGGTGTCGAAAACGTGCTCGCGCACTCACTAAATTTAATTCTTTTTTTTTTAATATTAGTATTTTTTTTCGTATTTTCTTTTTATTTCAAATTTGGTAAGGAATTTAGATGTAATGCTCAGGCAAATCTTGTTTAATTTATTTTTCTTCATAACATATCTTTTTTTCAGGTTTTTGTTTTTTTTGTGTGGTTCGCGTTCGGCCCGAACGGCCGAACGCATCCCCAAGGGGTCCGATACGTTCGGGCGTTCGGGTTCGGGCGTTCGGCCCGTCCCGAATGCCAGTTACCCTGCCTATTATCGTATTGTATTATTTGTTTACTATATTTTTTATTCTATATTCTATTATATTCTATCTCATAGTTATAGTATTATTTATTTTATTTCATTTGTTTTCTTCAATAGTCAAGATTCTGTCATTATGTTGGTATTTTATTTCTCAATACATTTTATGTATTATTTGCAATATAGATAGATGAATAACAATATGGAATTTTATTGTCATTCTCTTGTTTTATTTACATTATTGTGATATTTATGAATTCTTGATCCTATAATATTATATATTATATTCGGAGAAGATATTTATGGATATATATGTATCAATAATATAATGAAATAAGATATATTTACAAATGTAGAAGAAGAAGAAGAAGAAGAAGGGGGAAGAAGAGGGAAGAAGAAGAAGAAGAAGAAGAAGGAGAAGAAGAAGAAGACGAAGAAGAAGAAGAAGGCAGCACCAAATAATAATAGTCTTTCCTCTACCTCTCTCTCTCCGTCAACCTTCAAACATCCTCTGATAGTGAGCCTCAAGTAGGCTTCTCCCATTTCGCTCGCCACTACTCAGGGAATCGCTTTTGCTTTTTTTCCCTCTGGCCACTAAGATGTTTCAGGTCACCAGGTTCTCTCTTATCCGCCTATGGATTCAGTGGCAGTACGAGGGGTTACCCCATTCGGGAATCTCCGGATCTATGCCTGTTTTCGACTCCCCGAAGCATTCCGTCGCTTACTACGCCCTTCGTCGTCTCTGAGTACCTAGGTATCCACCGTAAGCCCTTCCTTATTTGAACCTATTATTTTCCTTCTGGACTCCAAAAACATCTGGAATCAGGGAGCTGAGCTACAGTACCGTCAATGTCAAGTCTCCTCTCTCTCTCTCTCTCTCTCTCTCTCTCTCTCTCTCTCTCTCTCACACACACACACACACACACACACACACACACACAGAAAAAAGAAGAAGAGATAGAGATAAGAAGAAGAATGCAGAAAACCTCTCTCTCTCTCTCTCTCTCTCTCTCTCTCTCTCACTCTCACTCATTGATAATACTGACCAGTGAAAGGCGGAGCCTTGAGCTGTGATGCACTGCAGGTGTCTCGAAGAAGAAGGCCAACTATGGCTGGCGGCAGACCTCCAAAATAATATGGAGCCAGGTGAGTGGGCATCTCCAACCTCACGTCTATCCTCCTCTAGCCTCTACAGCACTACTCCCTAGCTCCTCTGTTGCTGCTCCTCTACCTCGGACACTTCTCCAAGTCGTACAGCGTGGTGGCACACAAAAGAAGAAGAAGAGATCGAGGATAAGAAGAAGAAATGTGAAAAATCTCTCTCTCTTTCTCTCTCAGATAATACTGACCAGTCAAAGGCAGACCCTTGAGCTGCTGATGCACTGCAGGTGTCTCAAAAAAGAAGGCCAACTATGGTTGGCGGCAGACCTCCAAGATATGGCGCCAGGTGACTGGACACCTCCAACCTCACCTCTCTCCTCCTCTAGTCTCTACGCTACTACTTCCTAGCGCCTCGAAAACTACTCCTTGATCTCCACAAGTGCTAGGCTGCTTCAAGTCGTGCAGTCCAGTGGCACGCAAATGAGGTGAGTCCTGATTTTGCGGTTATCACGGATGCAGAAACGTTCCTCTCCTTTGCTGCTCAAGTACAGGTCTGAAGTCAGGCTGTAACCTGGGTCAGAATTGGGGTCCATTTGCAGATTCCTAAGGATGGGGCCGAAGACAGGGTCCTGAGGCAACCCATCTGCAATGGCATCCCTATTGGAATCCCAAAGTAAGAATGCACAATGGCAGCAAAGTGTCAGGCCTGCGAGAAAGTCCATCTGCAACTCTATTGTAGCATCCCTTCTTGTGCTTCAGTTGAAAGTCAAAAATGTCTATGAACTGAACATACTTTCTTAACTTATCATTTAACTCCCCTTGGGTTTCCATCCACTAAAAAGTCGAATGGTCAGAATAGATTTTGAAGTGTTTTCCCGGTAAGAATTGTGTCCATCGTTTTGGGGCACATACAAGGGCATATGGTTTGTTCTCATAGATAGAAGCATGTATCGTTTTTATAGTGATATTCTTGCTTATGTATCCTTTGTATTGAAGAACCGCCCCAACACCATGCTCACTTGCATCCATGGTGAACACAAAATGACAAGGTAGGGTCAGGTAGTTTCAACACTGGTGTCTGGGTAAGGGCTTTTTTCAAGTCAGCGAAAGACAGTTGGGATTGAGGAGTCCATCTAAAGGGGACCTTAGCCAATAGGTTGGTCAAGGGAGTAGCAATGGTAGACAGGATGAAGTGAATCCCATCTTCTGGTGTTGAAGCCATTTTCTAACAGCAACAGCATTAGAGGCTTCAGAACCAAGTACAAGACAGAAGAAACCCCAAAGGCAGACTTCTCTTTATTAATCTTATACTTGTCTTCTCTGAGGACTTGTAGAACCTTCTTCGTGTGTTCTGCATGTTCTTTGACGATCTTGCGGAATACCAGGCCATCGTCCAGATAAACAACCACAAACGCCTTGAAGATTCTGTTCATTTCGGTCTGAAAGTTCCCAGGTGGATTGCAACACCTAAAAGGCCTGATCTTAAAGGTTGTCTTGTGGACATCCTCCTCAGCCATTTCAATCTGGTTGTAGCCTTGCATCATGTCCAAGAGGCCATCAAATCCTCGGCAAAGGCTGAGAGCCTACGAGCTCTTCCTAGTGATCTTGTTGAGGCCTCTGTAGTCTATGCACATTTTGAGTTCTCCAACAGGATTGGTGCCCTATACTCTGATGAGCTAGGCTGGATTCAACCCTTTTCAGTGATTACCTTGAACTGCTTCCTTAGTTCTTCCAGTTCACCAGGTTTCACCTTGTATACTCTGCCTTTAGGAAGCCCGAAGTGGTGGATTGGGTGACATTTGGGAGGGCATTCATCCTCATGCTGGCAGATTTCAGGAATGCCCTCTGGGACCATTTCCAGCAAATCAGAGAGAGAGAGAGAGAGAGCTCTTTAGGACAATACAGAACAGACGGCATATAGACCTGCCTGTCCCCAGAACGGATGCAGAACGATTTCTGCTTTGGCCATAACTACTGGTACAAGACCTCCAACTGCTGCTGGAACAGCACCCGTAGCATCGGAGGAACCCCAAGCTGGGGGCACCTCAGAACTGGCCTTCCCGGCCCCCAAGCACCACAATCTGACACACCAACAGATGGGCCGACTCGTTGACACCCTCCCGGTGCCAGACCCGAATTACCTCTCAGATGAGGATCCCGAACCTGACCTGGCGGGCCACTTCCCAGAGTATCCTGAATTCTGCCACCGCCAGGAGCTAACAGGCCAAGTTTACTCTACATTGCCCCAAGTTCCTAGGGGGGCTGAGCAACATAACACAACTTCAATAGTCAGTGCCTCATGTTCCATCGCACTCCCAGCTCCTGCCCTTCAAGTCATATGTCTAACTGAAGTGGACCCAAGCGACGAAGACGACTCGCCCCCCGCCCAACCAGCAGGGAACACGGGAGGCAGACACATGAGGGGCAAAGTGGGGAATCTACTTCCTGCATCTGGGGCAATACGCCTCAACAGACCACTTGCAACAGGGACAGTCGTACTACCGCTCAACGCCAGGATGCTAATGGCGAGTGGCTGCTAGGTTTGAGGACCGAGTCAGGAATAGCAAAAGACTTTCAGTCCCCCGGTACGCAGGGCAATACAACCTCCCAAGGCTTCACCTTGGAGGGCCAGCGGAGCACTCCTTCAACGGTCTCAGCCCGCTAGAAAATGAGAATGCAGATCCGAGAAAAGAAAGACACGGGGGTGTAAAGCATCGTCCTTCCCAAAGACATTCCTTTTCCAACACCTTTCATGCCTATTGTCTTTCTCTTCGACCCGGACCACAAGAAGAAATAGATGGCTAGTATGGATGACAGAAGAACCTGAAATCAGGACAAACAGCAATAGATGTCAGTCATGCAGTCTGGAACCCTAATCTAGACAAAACGCCCCACAGAGGCACCCTAATCTAGACTATGGTAGGTGAGATGCAGCGCCAATCAATTTTGCTTCCAGAGTCAGCAAGTCAACAGCTGCATGTGGAAACCAGATCGCCATAGCCAAACTGGCTCAGGTAAGTCAGCACCCAACCCAGTTCTGTCCCGCGTTAATTCACCGTTCCTCCAGATTCCCCTGTTGAAAACTTGTTAAAATTGTCTCCCATGATGCAGAAACCAGCAAAGATGTAGTTCCAAACCCTCAGCACGCTAGCGCTGGTCAGCTAAGGGTTGTGAAACCCTAAAGTGCAGAGGCGGTGAGGTGTTTAGGGCCAGAGAGCCATGAACTAATCCAGCGCCGAGCGAAGGAAAATATTAGTAACCGTAACTGACTTCCCTACAGCCTATCACCGCCTGCAGCTTCATTCATGCACTTCCTGCACATTTACGCTCACTCACCGAGCTCTTCACTCACCTTCTTCTTCTTCTTCTTCTTCTTCCTCCTCCTC